GAATCATCAATCAGCATACCCACATGGGACTGATCATCCCTGGGCCCCAAAACAGCCTGAATAACCGACAAAGCATCAGCTTCCACCACAAATAGACCACTACCAAGATGCTTAGTACTCCTCTTTCTGATTAGAGTTTAGCATACATACAAGATGCACACATTCGTTTTTTGGCCGCAAACTCCACAGTTTTTTTATATGAATGACTCATGATGGTTGCACATTTTACACTAAGTATTCCATGCACCACTAGACCAACTTTATGCCATGGTTCCTTCTCTTCCTTGTGCATATGCGTATACTTTTTCCCTTCATCTTTTTTCTTTTGCCTATTTCATGATAATAAATTTTTGTCCTAACGCGTTTGAAATTTTGCATCTGATGCAGATAGATCACTCTATAGTGGAGAGCTTTGGTGGAGAAGGCAAGGCGTGCATAACAGCTAGAGTTTATCCCACATTGGCCATTAATGGCGATGCCCACTTGTATGCTTTCAATTATGGAACTGAGGATGTCAAAATCACAGGAAGTGCATGGAGCTTGAAAACAGCAAAAATCAATTGAAATATGAATAGTGGAGAGTGGAGAGTGCTCTTGGAAAGAGGATAATGACTATGACAGATTAATAATAAAATTTGTGCGTGTATGAACCGAAAATAAAAAACTTGTGCGTGTCAGTTTTTTCTTTTGCATATCATGGATTCCGATTGTCTCTGTATGTAGAAGTTTTAACTATTAAAAATAATTTTGCTTCTGCATAATTATATAAGCTACTTGTCAATCGAGATTGCTGCAAGTATTCCACTGCCACTAACTTTGAAACAACACTGTCAGATTGTTTACTGCATAAGAATTGTAGTACATGGAAAATACCCCCCAAAAAAGGCTCCTTATAGGTAAGGAATCATTCTTCCATGCATTGGTCTTGTTGTCCCTTATAAGATTTGACGTGTGTGCATATATTGGTCTTGTTGAACCTTTGGCGAGCCAATTTTTTTGTTTTGTCTTTTTGTATGGGCTGAACTTCCATAGGCCAATGAGGAATGACTATTTACTAGTACGGAGCCAAGTAGTGTTCATGGCACCTGTGAGCTAAAAACTTTCGACCCTTGTACATAAGGCCATAGGTTCTTGTAAAATCTTAATCTTTTTCTTGGGCCTAATATGGTGAACAATCAGATTATCTATTGTTCTTATGTGCCCAAATAAAAGCACACTAACTTTCATTTCTCAATATTCCTCAAAGGCACAATAAGGTCATTGGTTTTAGTGTGGCTATTCTTCTCCTCCTTGAGGTTTGTGGCCATACAGGTGCCACAAACCCCAAGGAGTCTGATATGTTAGACAGGTGCTAAAAGCCAGATTATATGATATTAAACATAAGAAAGCGATGCATGATTGAGATATGATAAATTTTATGCCTAAAAAACTCCACAATGAGGATGCGAAGGTTGCTGTTAACTTGTATTCATGGGTTAAATTTAGGCTATTTATGATAAAAATAATTTTTCACACATATATGAATTAAATGAGGCTTATTTTGGATGTGAGAGATGTGATTAGTAATATATAGTCGGGATATAAGAAATGTGGTTATCAATATGATGTGATTGTAAAAATATGTTGCATTTGCTATATTTAACAAACAAACAATGAGACGAAATGTGTAGCAATATACTTGGGGTTTCTAATGACATTAGACATTACTGCCCTTATCTTTCCTCATCATCCTCTGGTCCTTATCATCTTCCTCTTCTTCCTCATTGTCAATAGAAGAAGCAAAGCTAACTGTTGGAGTTGAAAATAGTAGTCAGGTCATTAACTCGTTAGTGATATACCCGAAACGAAGGGCTAAACATTGTTGGCAAAACAATACGAAATATGAATTTAAATTATAATAATTTTCAACAAAATTGTAATCATCAAATTTACATGGAATTAATGTAAATCAATAAACACAAATGTGTAGAAATACTTACAACTTTAGCGATTGAGGCTTGCAAGAATTGATTTCGCCCCTGCCCTTATGCTTGCGGTTCTATAGGTGTCCATCTCCCAAGATTCAACAATCAATAATTCTAAATTGAAGCACTTCAATTTAAGACTCTGGCAAACCAATTATATGTTTGTACTCTCAAGACAAAACTAGGAAGAATTTAACAACAAAGTACTGGGGATACTCTTTGTTTTTCGTGGGTAAGAACTCTCTTCATTCTATATCTCAAGTAGGTGAGGGTGTTTGGTTTATATGAAACTCATTACAACTCTTGTCGAAACATAAGTAGCTTTTCATTTAAAAAGTTACAGACACAACTCTATGGAAACAAGACCACTTGATCATGGAATCCCACCGTTTAATTATTAATAACTGCACTTTAAAGGATACCAAGTGTAAAACAAATACTAAGACACACGACACTTATTTTTCATTCACTATAGAAATTAAATATTATTAAATAATATAAAATTTCCAACAATCCCCCACCTGAATGAAAAATTGAGAAGAAATTGAGAGAAGTGGCGGAAAAGAGATGCATTTGAAGAGGTATCTTTTGAACTTGAACCTATCATAGTGAATATCTATCAGATTTACTTGGTAACTGTTACCCTCTTTTCGGCCGGGGCGGCCGACGGAAGGAACTTTTGGTCCTTCTTCTTTTGGATGCGGGGCGTGCCACCACCAAGCCCCGAAATTGGGCTTGAATGGAATGAGAATAGATGGATATGTTGCACTTCTAACTTCTGACCAAACGATTGATCGGCCAAGCAAGGAACCTCTTCTTGGCCTAGATTCTTTCACTTTCTCGGGCTCGAGAATGGTTAGGTTTCGTATGGATGTTTTTGTGGTTTTTATGGTTTAAGTAAAAATAATGCAATTAAACTAAATATGCGTATAAACGTAAAGACAAGAATTGAAATGCGATAAAATAAATCAAAGCGATAGATAAAGCAAGAATAAAATAAAAGCGATAAGAACGATAAGAACGAAAAGGAAATAAACTTGAAGTTAAATTTAATCGAAGTGCGATAACAATTAAATGTAAAGGAATCAAAATAAACTTGAATTGAAATGACAAGAAATATAAATTGAACAAGAATTTAAATGACAAGGAAAATATAAACTTACACTAGAAATATGAAGAACTCACTACACTAGGTGCTTGAAAAATAAAATCCTAAGTCTAGGAAAAGAAAAGTGCGAGACAAAAGATAGGTTTGTTTGTCTGATGTTGTGTGTCTGATGCCTTCGTCGAGCAAGGTTTATATAGGGCACTCGTCAGCCCATGGGCTGGCCATTGAATGGCCAAATGTCAACTCTTCTTTAAAATCTTTCCTTTCGAAGCCCTCCTAAATCCGTGAGATTGCATTGATATTCTGTCATGCTTGATTCTTCCTTGTTTTGGAACACTCGGAGTTACTATAAAAAAATCCTTTGATTTCTTTCCTCGTGAGGCCTCCATCACGTGCACATAATCTTCCGAAAATTTGGGCGTGAATAGATGGCTTAAAGTTGGGCATCTGATTCCTCTTATATTGCCATCCATATATTAGATTTCATATCATTCCATATTAATATATAATATATATATTAATATGTTCATATAGGACAAAAACCTCCCAGCCTTCGTGTATGCATCTTCACTCACCTATATTGTATATACTTGTATATATATATATATACACAAGTGCCTACAGCAGCCCACTCTAAAAACGGCCCACTCACCCATATATTCACTTCGGTCGCACACAGTCCAAAACAATTGCCCATTTCGCAAAAACTCTTGAAGTTTCAGCTCTAAACACTCGGCCGCCATTATTCATCTATATATATTATATATATAAATAAATATATATATATATTAAGACCAAGTGGACTACAGGACCCAATCTGCCCACTTTTCCAAAGAGACAAACTAGCCGCACGAACCCTCCAATCTAAAAACACTCGGCCGCCAACCTTCCTTTTGAAAATAAACCCAGCTATATTTGCGGCCGCTCTCCAGCCCTTCTAGTTCCATCCGGCCGCAACCTTGAGAGGCCCGGACTGCTACGGCCTCCAAGCTTCAAAACCCAAGCCAGATTTTGAATTCCTAGCCCGGCTGCACCTATTTTATCCGGCCGCACTAAATCGTGCCCAGCTGCCTATTCATCACGCCCGGCCGCATATTTCTCCAATCCCGGCCGCTATTTCCAAACTCCATTCGAGCTGTCCGGCCGCATCTCGTATGCCCAGCTTTTTCGGGTCGTGCCCAGCGAAACAACCTTGGCCGCAACCTCAGTCTCCAGCCCCTTTTCGAACAAAGCCGAGCTGCGATCTTAGAGAGCTGTTCAGCCCGGCCGTATTCTCCTCGTGCCCATCCAATATCTCGTGCCCATATTAGGTGGGTTTCTATCACCCCCAAACATTGCCCCCTCGACTTGCTTAGCTCGGAATTGGTGCAGAGGTAAGCAAATTGAAACCCAAGACCTTTCAATTTCTGAAATTTGAGATTTTTCTTTTTTGCTTGCCTTGCACGTTATTAAATTTTGAATCGGGTAGGAATTTAGGAAGACACCAATTAAATTGGCGGGACCTTCGAACTTCCTATCCGTTAAAAACCCTAGATATTACAAATATTGAAGAGGTCCCTTTCATTCTCACATAAGCACTTCCACCATAGCTATAGGCTTTTAGAAGGTTTTCTCAAAACCCATATCCTCTCCATCTTCACATTTATCTTTTCACACACCAAATCCACCCGAACCAACGTCAAACTTGAAATTTGCAAGTTTCTAGGTACGTTTCACTAATTCTTGGTTGATTTTGGTATGATTTTGATGCATCTATAGCCTTCAAAAGTTTAGACTTGAAACTTTGAATATGTGAATAGTGCTATGATGTTCTTCGTGTTCTTCATTCGAATCTTGTTTGCTTTACTATATTTTTCTTTGATTCGATTTTACACCATGTTTGTAGGATGGAATCTATTCCAAGTGATAGTGGCCAATTTTTTGAAGATATGAAGGTGGCCATGGAAAAAGACTTGGGCAAGCAAGTATTTGCCTATTTTCTCAATGCCTTTCCCAACTCCGCCCAATATATTCTTGGCCCATTTTTCTCTGCTTATCCGGAGGAGGTGGCCAAAGTGTGGGTGACGCAACCAAGAAGTGGCCCAACTTATTTTTTAGACTTCACATGGGCATCCGTTTGGGAGAGCGCCAAGCCATTTAAAGGTTGGCCAACGGGAACCCCCCTCAAATCGGATCCCACCGCAACAAAGGAGGCCCCATCAAAGAAAGCATCATCCGCCGCCGGGAAGCCCGATCACTCAAGCTCGGCGGATGGCAAGTTTGATCTATGCTTTTGGTCTTCCTCCACCAATTGCATGAGGCTCCGTTTTGGGATGATGACGCCCAACTTGCTAGACTTGGCCGCTATTGCCGGCCTCCGCCCTCATGGAGAGGATTTCTCGGCCGCCAACCTTTCGGATGGCAAAGTGGGCTTAGATTTTCACAAGTCAAATAAGAACTCCGGGAGCTGGGTGAAGACATATCTTGGCCATGGCGGAGATCCCACCGACCCTCCTTCCATCAATGGCATATCCTACACTGAGCATGTGGCTTTCCTTGTGATGTGATTGTGCAAGTTCTTGGCATGCCCAAAATCCGGCGGGATCACAAAGGAATTTCAAGCCTTGGCGGAGGTGCTTGCGGATGGCCATCAAGTGGCCATGGGCCCAATCTTTCTTGCCTATCTTTATAGAGGGCTCCGTGAGGTAACCACTAAACCCATGGATTATCATGCTTCTGGCCCTATATGGATTTTTCAATTATGGCTCCAGTTATATTTTCCGGAGTTAAGTCCCACCACCGTTTGCCCAAACGATAAAGCACTTTTGGGTCCGCCTTTGCTCAACGCCCCACGGCAGAAGCATTTTGTGGAGGATTGCTTCCGCTTTTTCTATGAGTGCCAGGAGAGGACTAGGGAGCATCTCTCCATTTGCCTTGATCACCGTTTCCCGGATTATCTAGCCCTGGATCTTTCCTAATATCCCACGGCGGAGACGAAAGATGAGAGACATAATATGTGGGCGAGCATCCTTATCAGCCGAGATCTTCCATATGGCCTAATGGTGAACAAAGGAAGCAATTATCATTGTGGTGGTGAGCTTTATTATCCCGCCGCCGCCGGCTACCAGCTTGGTTTTATACAGAGCATTCCTATACCACCCATGGATTCCGTCAACCTGCTCTCCTCTTGGCGGGTGGAATTTAAAGATGCGAAAGAAGTCACCACCTTGACGGATTTCAACCAAGACTTGGTGAAATCCTTCAGTATTCCGATTAGAGATCCTCGGTTTGGTGACTCTAACATCTTTATCCATTGGTGGAAAGAAATGTCGGCCGGTTGGTTTTCTCAACCATGCTCAGAGATTGAGGATAGGATCCTTAAGCATTGCCCATGCTCATTGGCCTTTCAACAAGAGAAAGAGAAGAAGAAGGCCCAAGCAAAAGGTAAAATATTTGCACTTTCTTCCTATTTTAATTTTTTGGCTATCTTTCTTTTTCCTAACCCTTCAAATCTCATAGTTGACACCGCCGAGAAGGAAAACCCTCCCGCCAAGGTTATTGAGAGAGAGAGCTTGGCCAAATCCGCCAATGCAAATTCTGGGTGGGGCGAGAAAAGGCCCACCGCCCCCATCCAAGGTAAGCCATCCTCCATGATTATTTTTGCCCTTTTTAAATATTTGCACTTCTAGCCTTCTGAATTCTTGATGGGCACATTTAAAAACTTAAAACTCCAACTTTTTAGGAGATAGCCCCGCCGGAAATATTTTGCCTTCTCAAACATTCCTTCGGCCCAGAAAAGTTCGGCGGAACCTTTCACCCCAAGGTTTGGCCGTGCACTTTTTTTTTGTTTTTTTTTTAAAGGACTAAAATAGATAAGCTTGTTGCAGGTTCCCCAAGGCCGGCGGATCATCCTTCCTCTTCTCATTCGGTCGGGGCCGTGCAATCGGCCACTACTTCATCCGCCGCTCCGGTAAGCCTATATCTCTACATTCTTTCATTTATTTAATTTTGAAGGGCAAAAATTCACCCTTATGCCCAAAAATGTAGGAAACTCAACCTCCTACACTTGAGAAGGGAGTTAGGGCGCAAGTCATGACTTCGGTGGGCGAGGATGAGGTAAATCCATCTCCTTAGCCGTTTGAGTTTTCTTTTACTTCTTTTGTGCTTACTAAATTTTCGAACTTAGTCGGCCGAGATCACTACCACGGAGCACCCGGAGGATATTTCCACGGGGTCACACGAGATTACTCCCATGCCCGATGATGACGCCCATGAGCACGTGGCCGAGCTGACCGAGGAAGACTTCCCACATGTTCCGAATTCTCAGGTTCATTGAAATTTCATACTTTTAAAATTTCTTATACACTTGCCCCCAATTTCTTATTTTCAATGTTTGCACATGTTAGCGGGCCATTTTTGGCCCCAACCTTTCTTCGGCCGATGCCACGGCCACTGAGGCCGAATTTCAGCCCCTCTTTGCCATAAGTTCGGGCTCTACCTTGACCCGCCTTCTCGAGGCGCCCCAAAGTGGCCCAACTTTTCAGGTGGTCTTACTCTCCCTTAAATGTTTTTTCAAAGCTTTATGTTTGTTAGAGAGCTCACATCCTCCTTTTTTAGGCGGATGTGGTGGAGTCTACCGCCATTACGGTCGGCCATGCGATCGTCGCCAATGGTGTGCCTTCCACTATTCCCACCGACGGAAGTGCACCACATGAGCCCGTCCTTATGTCGACCTTGGGAGCTCCTACCTTGGTTGTCGATGCTATTCCGTCTGAACTCCAACTTGAGGTACGCCCCGAATTTTCTTGTTTATTTCAAATAAATGGGCCATTATTGTAATCCTTATATCGTTTTGCTAGATTGGTGAGTCTTCATCCTTTGTGCCCGCCGAGATTACCATGGATCCATCGGCGGAGGATGGACGAAACTTGGCCACGGTCCCCCATGAAGAGGCCCCTCTACCATCCCCTGATCAAGTATGAAACAAGAAATACATACATATGCACATATGCAATTTATTTCCCTTTCTTGAAATATAATGCCCATTTTTCTAGCAGCCATCTGGTGACATTTTTGACTTCCTAGATCAGTGGGATGCATCTATATCCTCTGCGGAGGCTTCCATTCGCCTTGCCACTTCTTCTACATCGACCGGGGCCCTACCAGATTCCGGGGCTGAGGCCATACTTCGGTCATACAGAGAGGGAGACCTCATGTCCCTGGAGGACAAAGATGAGAGAAGCAAGCTCAAGGCCGCCATTGAGACTTTGGCGAGTTCTGGCTTTTTCCTTGATCCACGCTCGGCGGCTATGATTACTCATCTCTTTGGTCAGGTGGAGAGATTTGCCCCCCGCTGCCGTCCTTTTCTAGAGGAGCAAAGGATAGGCCAAGACTTGGAGCAGCGGATTACCAAATGTAGTGCCACCATGAGGAGGGAGATCGAGATCGCCCGCCAAATGCAACAGGAGGCTGCGGATATCGATGAGCAGGTGAGTCAGCTTCAAGAAAGGAAGGCTGGCATTGTTGCCAAAGTCTCCGAGATTGTCCGGAGCAATAGGCCTCTCGAGGCTCAACTTCGACAGGATGCAGCGGCAGCGGGAGCATATCGAGAGAGGAAGTTGATGATTCAGTCGACCTTGTCCGCCGGAGATACCGCGATGGAGAGCTTTAGGGCTGCCCTCCGCACCCTTTTCCCCGATGCTTAGGTTCATACTTGGCCATTGGTTGGCCCATTTTGTACTTAGCTAGTTTCCTTTTCTTTGGTCACCATATGTGGTAGAATTAGCTTAGTTATTATTTCTTGAACCTTTGGTGGATATCTAGGCCATTATTTGGCCCCATTTTGTTGTAGACTTTTGCCCACCTATATATATATATATGTGATATCTTTTGGAAGAACTTCTTTTATGATGCCCATTCTTCCAATAAAAATCATTATTTTATTGTGATATATTTCTTCATGGCAGATTATCTCTCCGCCATTTCCCAAACCGTTGGGTAATATTTTTTCAAAAATCGACCATTGATCGGCGCATCATGGACCCGTCCATTTTGGTCACTTAACTTGTACGCCCCCTTTCCTAACACTTGGTGGACGAGAAATGGGCCTTCCCAAGTTGGAGACCACTTGCCAAATTTTGGATCCTTTGATCCCACTAGAAGAATGGTCTTCCATACTAAATCTCCGACCCCAAAACTCTTGGCCTTGGTCTTCTTATCGTATGCTCGAGCCACGGCCTCTTTTTGGGCCTTCAATCTATCTAAAGCGCCCAATCTGACCTCGTCAAGGTCATCTAACTCTTGTGCCATGGCTTGCCCGTATTCGTCCTCACTCCATTCGGCATGGCGAACCACCCTTAAGGACTTAACCGAAATCTCAAGTGGCAAGACGGCGTCATGGCCATAGGTGAGGGCGAATGGCGTTGTTTGCGTGGCAGACCTTTTCGAGGTTCTATACGCCCATAGAGAGTTGGAAAGAAGAGAGTGTCATTCCTTGGGATTTTTATCAATCATTTTTTTCCAAAATCCCTTTTATCACCTTATTACTAGCCTCCGCTTGGCCATTTGATTGGGGATTGTATGGGGTGGATTGAACCATCCTAATTCCCCAATTTCTTGCGGCGGCTTGAACAGCCTCGCCCATGAACGCCGTTCCTCGGTCAGTCATAATGGACTCGGGCAGGCCAAATCGATGGATGATATTCTTCTCAATGAATTCTATCACCTCGACTTGAGTAACTTGCTTGAGTGGGACGGCCTCCACCCACTTTGTGAAAAAATCGGTGGCCACTAATATATACTTATGGCCCTTAGATGACTTTGGGTATATTTGGCCAATCACATCCATTGCCCAACCTTTGAAAGGCCAAGTCTTGACAATGGGATTCATTGGTCCGGCCGGGACATGTTGGATCGGCCCATGCCTTTGACAGTCTTTGCAACCCTTGGCATATTCAATGCAATCTTTGAGGATAGTCGGCCAATAATAACCGTGTCTTCTTAAAAGCCACCTCATCTTGATGCCAGCTTGATGAGCACCGCATATCCCCTCATGGACCTCCGTCATTGCTACGAGTTGTTCTTTTTTGCCCAAACATTTCATGAGCAAGTCATCGGAACCTATGCGGAACAATACTTCATCCCTTATCATATAATATTGGGCCCTCCGCCGAATTTGTTGGCTATATGACCCATTTGGGATTTTCAAATATTGCACAATGTCGTGCCTCCAATCCTCCGGTGCTATGGTTAACACCATAACTTCTGCTGGAACCCCTCTTTCAAAGACGGAGGGGAGAGACCTCTTCTCAACTTTAAAAAGCTCCTCAGAGATCCCTTCGGAGATCTCCACTCCGGATGCTAATTGGGCCATGGCGTTGGCCTGAGTGTTATGTTCTCTCGGTAAGTGGGCGAGTCTCACATCATCGAAATCTTCCATTAATTGGCTGGCCAACGCATGATATCCAAGCAAAGCTTGGCTAGTCACCTTGTAGTCGCCAGACAATTGTTTTAAGACTAACATTGAGTCTCCCATGACAGCCACACTTTTTACCCCAAGCTCTTTCAAAATTTCCAACCCTATGATCAGGGCCTCATATTCGGCCTGATTGTTGGTACAATCAAAGTCCAATTGAAAAGAATAACGAGTTCGGAATCCTTTGGGCGTTTCAATGATGACACCCCGCCCCGCCCATGTTAAATGTTCGAGACCCGTCAAAATAAAGGCGCCATGGGAATAAACTCAATGTGCCCACCTCGAGGAAATCCATCTCCTCTATTTCAACACAAGGGTGGGCCACCAAGAAATCGGCCAAAGCTTGCCCCTTAACGGCCTGCTGGGGTACATATCGGAAAGTGAATTCCGCCAATGCCATTGTCCATTTTCCTATTCGCCCTCTAATGATTGGGCGAGTGAGCATATATTTTATCAAATCAGTCTTGGCGATTATATGCACCACGGAGGGCAACATGTAATGCCTTAACTTGGTCGCAGTAAAATACAAGGCCAAGCAAAGTTTCTCCACCGGAGAATATTTCCTCTCGGTGGCCGTTAGAATTCGGCTGAGGTAGTATACCGCTTGTTCTTTCTTCTCATCATTGTCTTGGGCTAGTAGACTTCCGATGGAGTTTTCCGCGGCCGAAATATATAGTTTCAAAGGTCGGCCCCGCTTTGGTGGAATGAGCACCGGAGGCTTGGCCAAATATTCTTTAATGGCGTCAAATGCCCTTTGGTGAGTCTCTTCCCACCGAAATTTCTCTTCATCTTTGAGCTTTAGCAAAGATGAGAAAGGCTCAACTTTCCCCGCGGAGTTGGCTATAAACCTTCGAAGGAAGTTAATTTGGCCCAATAAACTTTGCACACCTTTCTTGTTTTTTGGAGGGGGTGCGTTAATGATAGCCTTCGCCTTATTTTTATCAATCTCAATCCCCCTTTGGTGCACCAAGAATCCTAAGAAATTCCCGGCGGATACCCCAAAAGCACACTTTTTTGGGTTCATTTTCAATTGATGCCGCCGCATTCTTTCAAAGGCCGACCGAAGGTCATCCAAGTGGCCTAGTCTAGACTCCGATTTTATAACAACATCATCGATGTAAACTTCTAAATTTCGACCGATCATGTCATGGAAAATAGAGTTCATTGCCCGCTGATATGTGGCCCCGGCATTTTTTAGGCCGAAGGGCATCACCACATACTCAAAAGTTCCAATGGATCCGGGACACCTGAAGGCTGTCTTGTGGACATCCTCTTCGGCTATAAAAATTTGGTTATAGCCAGAGTGCCCATCCATAAATGATAAAATTTCATGCTTGGCCGCCCCATCGACTAAGAGGTCGGCCATGGGCATGGGATATTCATCTTTGGGAGTTGCAAGATTAAGATTGCGAAAATCAACACATATTCTTATTGCTCCCGTTTTTTTCTTTACAGGTACAATATTTGAAAGCCATTCTACATATCTAGCTGGCCTAATAAATTTGGCTTTTACAAGCCTTACAATTTCTTCCTTAACCTGTAATTCTACTTCCGCCGACATCCGGCGGGGCGGCTGCTTGAAGGGCTTGAAATCTTCCACCGCTGGTAGGCGATGCTCGACTAAGTCACGACTCAATCCGGGCATCTCGGTGTAATCCCAAGCGAAGCAATCCTTAAACTCTCTCAAAAGCTCTTCCATCTTGGCCCGAAGTTCTGGCTCCATTAGACCACTGATGTAGATTGGTCGATGGTTGTCTTTCGTCCCCAAGTTGATTTCTAACAAAGGGTCTTGGACTTCCGCCTTCGAATCATCCATCTCGCTTGGTGCCAACTCTACCTCTTCGAGCTCAAGTGCATCATCCTCCGGGCCTTCATGAAGAAATTCCACCAAGTTGGCGGTGGACCCATGCTCGACCGCTCTTTCGGCCCAAAAACCATATAGCCGTCTCAAAGTGTCCTCCACCGCGGCCTTCTTCTCTTCCTCTATGTTTGTATCACTCATTGAGGGAGAAAAAATCAGCTATAATGGGACGCTCCCCATCCGCTTGGGCATCATGTGCCCCCAACTCTATCAACTTTTGGGTCGAGACTCCCGTAGGTCGGCCGTTCTTATCTGACCCCGTAAAATAAAGGGGCCCAATGTCATCTTCATAAAACTTTGCCTCTACCGCATTGGCGGAGGCCATGAAGGGCCGTACATCGGCCTGAACAATCTCTACACTTCCATCCTCATGCCAAAATTGTAAAAATTGATGAAGTGAAGAGGGCACGCACATGCTTCCATGGATCCAATCTCGGCCCAACAAAGCATTGAAATGGGCCGTTGTCTCCACCACAAAGAAGGCAGTCATTCTAACTTTTTGCCCCACTCTAACTTGGAGTGGGAGAATTCCCTTTGAAGTCGTGGTGTCTCCCACGAACCCGCTGACCGTTGTCTCGGTCGGGATTAACTCATCTGAGCCTTTCTTTAATTTCCTCATGATTGAGGCTGGTAGGATGTTGACCGTAGCCCCCATATCCACAAGGACTTTACTCACCGGAACTCCATCGAAATGAGCTCCCACATACAAGGGCTTAAGGTGGGAGGACATTTTCTTGGTGGGCATGTCATAGCACACCTTCTCGGGCACTTTTTCCTCCTTTTCGGGCACCACGATGCAAGGTTGGGCATTCCCTTCCTTAGGAGTTTCTCGGGCCATCTCAATTTCTTTGGCCCTTCCATTTGGACCATGGACTCAACCTCATCGAACACATCCCCGTCCATAAAATTAGGTTGATCCGGCCGAGCTTCGAAAAATAGTGGAAGTGTAACAACCATGGCATTTACCTCGTCAAAGTCTCCAAACTTTACTTTGACCTTGCCCACTTTTAGCTCATTCTCAAACTTGGCCATCTCTTCACGTTCTTTCTCTAAGTGTTCCATAGCTTCCTCCGACAGATCCTCTAAGTATTCATCATCCGCATACTCCTCATCTTCCCCATATATATCTTCGTCTTCGGCTGTCGAACCTTCGGGATTTTCCAATGGCTCCTTAGCTTCTTCCTCGGCCGTGTGCTCGGCCTCTTCTTCTACCACATTAGTTTCAACATCGACCATAACTTGGTCTTCTTCCGCCCTAGGCTCGCTTACTATTTTATGGGGCACATCCCCAGCTTCTTGGACCATGTTTTGGTCCTTTTCCTCTTTGCTCTCAACCTTGGTGGGCTGAGCCAATTTGGTCATGGCTAGGGCCTTGGCGATCAGAGGCTTGGCTTTTGGTGGAGCAGCCCTTACCTTTTGAACCTTTAGAGGTTTATCTCCTCTCCTCTTGGTCGGTTCACTAACTTCCACTTTAGAGTTATTTGCCTCAAAAGCCCAAGTCAAATGGGCCTCCAATTCCGAGATTGGCTCTTCCGGGGCCGTTACCACAACTCGGCCATTCACCCATTCTCGACGTATTTTCATCTCCTCGGCCGCGGCGGCCTCTAAAGAAGCGACGGCATCGGCCTTAGCCAATTCCAACTCCTCCAATCGAAGCTTCTCTCGAAGCTCGACCAATCGGTCAAGTTGAGCTTGCCTTTTATCCGCCCAATCTAACTCCGCCTTGCAAGTGGTGGCATATTGTCTTTGAGCCCTTCTCGTTTGAGTTTTGCTCAGAAGTACTGGTGGAAGTTTTGGGCCTCTACTTCTATACCATTGGCCCGCCTTTGTGTTTGGCACCTTGAAAGTTGGGACACCATTACCGTCCGCGGGGCGAGGTCTTGATACATATGCCACATCTCGGCTTTTGCCTTCTCCCCACTGAAATCCACATGCTTCGATTTTGGCTTGAATCGGGCGAATCAATGTCTTCATATCTTAGAGGGGCATGTTGATTTCTCCTCTTCGGCTGATACCTCGGCCTCTCGTACCTATCTTGGTACTCATGCAATGGCCGTTTGTTCGGCCTCCCTTCCATTTCGCCCCTTGGGCTATGTGGGCCGTAATTCTCAGCCGGACTTGTTATCATCTTCTTTTCAAAACTCCTAGATATGCCCACTTGGACTTGATCCTTGGTTGGCTCTTTGGGCTTTGGCGAAACCACTTCGAGAGTCACCTCACATTGGCATCGACTACATAGCACAATGGCCTTTGGAGGTTCTTCCTTGGTCGAAACTTTTGTCTCGGGAACTTTGGCCACCTCAGGGTACATTTTAGCCTTGCCCTTCGCCTTAGGATCCGCCGGAATTTCCCTTGCCCTTCTTTCTGCCGCAGCCCTTGCTGAGCCACCCAAGTCCAACCTAGGCCTAGGTTGGTCTGGCCTTGGGAAGTTAGCATTCACCATGTTGACTTGAGCATTTGGGAAAGGATTATGGTCGACGCCCATTGTAGCTTTCTCCGGAAACTTCAAAATCTTCCGATCGATGAGATCCTGCACGGCATTCCGAAAAACCAAACAATTGTTAGTCGTATGAGACCACACATTGTGAAACTTGCAATAAGTTTTATTTCTAAGTTCGTTAGCCGACGGAATATCATGATCATTAGATAATTTTATGATCTTTTCTTTCAAAAGTTGGTCGAAAATTTGTTCGGCTTTAGAAATATCAAATGTGTAGGACTTAGTAACGACTGCCTTTTGGGAGGTTCCACTAAACTTAGACATTTGGGCCGTGGTCGGCCTTTGATCCTTAGAGGCTTTAGACAAAGCCTTGCACACATATGGCCCTTTGGCCACAATCTCGGCCAAGTTTACCTCAGCCGACTCTTCTTCCTCCTCTAAGTAAATTTCATCACCTCTTTCTTCTGAGTCTATATCTCCAATGTCTACCGCGTGGACCGCCGTAGTCCTAGACCCGGAAGGTTTGGTTGAATCCCTATAAAATGTCGGTCAGGGTGTCGGCCGCCCTTTTTGTTGCTCCTCCTTTAGAAGGGCTTCGTATCGATCTACCCGAAGTAAGAGATCATAAATGTCGCGGAACTCAATTCCTTCAAATTTCTTTCGGAGGTCAAGCAACAATCCTCCTTAGGCCAATTTTGCAAACTCGTGCTCCGGCATATTGACAGTACACCTAGCCCTTGCTTCTCTAAACCGCCCCAAATATTCTTGGACCGACTCACTTGGCTTTTGGCTTATCTTTGCCAAGTCGGCCATTGAGACTTCCGGCTCCAGTCGATAGAATTGCTCGTGGAAGACTTGCTCCATAACTTGCCAATTCGGGACGGAATTTTGTGGAAGCTTAACATACCATGAAAAAGCTGCCCCCGTAAGGGTACTCAGAAATAACCTTAATTTCAAGGCCTCGCGATGCCCAATCTCCGCGCATTGGGCCGTGAATCGGCCAATGTGTTCGACGGTCGATTGGAGCCCATCTCCCGAAAATAGTGCAAAATCCGGAACCTTGAAACCCCTTGGAAATTCCTCTTGATCAAAGTGTTTCGGATATGGTCGCCGATAGACCGGCCTACCAATCCTCCTAGCATGGGGCACCATATCTTGAATCATTTGTTCGACCGCATCTCGGTCGATTGCTTGATTCCCTAGCAATGGGTTGTTAACATTCCCGCCGAAGTTATTCCAACCACCGACTCCGAATTGGTTGATATGAGGCCCAGCGAAATTGGCCCCAGCCGCTTGGTGAGCTTGTGGGCGGAATTGATTATATGGCGGGAACACTTGAAATTGGTTGACCGCCGCATATGGGTTGTTGCCCATCGGCGGAATATTAACCACTGGGGCTTGGTTGCCCCCTGCTGGTGGATTAAGTTGGGGCGGATTTACTCCAAAACCATTTGGTTGGGCCTCCACTTGTGGCCCAACCGCTGGTGCTCCAATTGGCGCCCCTTGGTTTCCATTTTGGCCATTTTGTTGGCCTAACCATCGATCAAATCTCTCGTTGATCTGAGCATTTTGAGTGGCCATCGTTTGGGCCATCATCTCCATGACACGCATGAGTTGTTGGAGTTCCAATGAAGTGGCCGGATTCGGCCTCAATACTGGTCCCCCGGCTACTTCCGTAATGTCTTCGACTACCACTTGATCATGGCCGACGGCCGTGTTTCGGCCGGGGCCATTTTGCTCTTGTTGAGTGGCCGGACCATTTTGTGGCTGAGTATTTATAGGGAGTGAACCAGCCATGCTTGTCTCTGATTCCGACCGAAGTCTAGATTCTTCAAATTCTTGATCTCTTCTAGGATTCCTCCTAGTGTTTACGACCATACAAAACCTAGTGGTCCCACTGGGCGTGCCAAATTATGTTACCCTCTTTTCGGCCGGGGCGGCCGACGGAAGGAACTTTTGGTCCTTCTTCTTTTGGATGCGGGGCGTGCCACCACCAAGCCCCGAAATTGGGCTTGAATGGAATGAGAATAGATGGATATGTTGCGCTTCTAACTTCTGACCAAACGATTGATCGGCCAAGCAAGGAACCTCTTCTTGGCCTAGATTCTTTCACTTTCTCGGGCTCGAGAATGGTTAGGTTTCGTATGGATGTTTTTGTGGTTTTTATGGTTTAAGTAAAAATAATGCAATTAAACTAAATATGCGTATAAACGTAAAGACAAGAATTGAAATGCGATAAAATAAATCAAAGCGATAGATAAAGCAAGAATAAAATAAAAGCGATAAGAACGATAAGAACGAAAAGGAAATAAACTTGAAGTTAAATTTAATCGAAGTGCGATAACAATTAAATGTAAAGGAATCAAAATAAACTTGAATTGAAATGACAAGAAATATAAATTGAACAAGAATTTAAATGACAAGGAAAATATAAACTTACACTAGAAATATGAAGAACTCACTACACTAGGTGCTTGAAAAATAAAATCATAAGTCTAGGAAAAGAAAAGTGCGAGACAAAAGATAGGTTTGTTTGTCTGATGTTGTGTGTCTGATGCCTTCGTCGAGCAAGGTTTATATAGGGCACTCGTCAGCCCATGGGCTGGCCATTGAATGGCCAAATGTCAACTCTTCTTTAAAATCTTTCCTTTCGAAGCCCTCCTAAATCCGTGAGATTGCATTGATATTCTGTCATGCTTGATTCTTCCTTGTTTTGGAACACTCGGAGTTACTACAAAAAATCCTTTGATTTCTTTCCTCGTGAGGCCTCCATCACGTGCACATAATCTTCCGAAAATTTGGGCGTGAATAGATGGCTTAAAGTTGGGCATCTGATTCCTCTTATATTGCCATCCATATATTAGATTTCATATCATTCCATATTAATATATAATATATATATTAATATGTTCATATAGGACAAAAACCTCCCAGCCTTCGTGTATGCATCTTCACTCACCTATATTGTATATACTTGTATATATATATATATATATACAAGTGCCTACAGCAGCCCACTCTAAAAACGGCCCACTCACCCATATATTCACTTCGGCCGCACACAGTCCAAAACAATTGCCCATTTCGCAAAAACTCTTGAAGTTTCAGCTCTAAACACTCGGCCGCCATTATTCATCTATATATATTATATATATAAATAAATATATATATATATATTAAGACCAAGTGGACTACAGGACCCAATCTGCCCACTTTTCCAAAGAGACAAACTAGCCGCACGAACCCTCCAATCTAAAAACACTCGGCCGCCAACCTTCCTTTTGAAAATAAACCCAGCTATATTTGCGGCCGCTCTCCAGCCCTTCTAGTTCCATCCGGCCGCAACCTTGAGAGGCCCGGACTGCTACGGCCTCCAAGCTTCAAAACCCAAGCCAGATTTTGAATTCCTAGCCCGGCTGCACCTATTTTATCCAGCCGCACTAAATCGTGCCCAGCTGCCTATTCATCACGCCCGGTCGCATATTTCTCCAATCCCGGCCGCTATTTCCAAACTCCATTCGAGCTGTCCGGCCGCATCTCGTATGCCCAGCTTTTTCGGGTCGTGCCCAGCGAAACAACCTTGGCCGCAACCTCAGTCTCCAGCCCCTTTTCGAACAAAGCCGAGCTGCGATCTTAGAGAGCTGTTCAGCCCGGCCGTATTCTCCTCGTGCCCATCCAATATCTCGTGCCCAGATTAGGTGGGTTTCTATCACCCCCAAACAGTAACGCAATAGATATATTGCGGTTGTGTTCATTTTGGTCCATGCACTGCGTTGGTGGGAAATTTCTTTTCAGTTTAAGAATTTCTTGGCCACCAGAAATCGCCATCAAACATTTGAGAATCTATGTTTTCCTTCAAAAAAGTACGAAGCATCTCATAACATAGTTAAAATTTTGACAGACACTGCTGCCTTTTCTGGTAAGGGTTCATCATACATGCACTTGACAGTCACTTTCCATGATTATTACATATGCTTGTTTCAGAAGATTCCCCAAGTGCTATGGCCACCTAATGAGATAAAAAATTCAGAACACAAAAGGACTACGTTCCTTTCCTTTTAATATTTTTTATTTCTAATAGAGAAATGCTACAATCAATCGTTCCCTACATGCACATATCATCATATGACTAATTCATGACCATTGACGCATGTGGGCTCAATATTGTAAGATTCACAAGCATCTTCTGCTGGAAATCACAGATGTGTGAGCAATCCTCTTTCTGTTTAGAGTTTAGCATACATGCAAGGTGTACACATTCTTTTTTCGGCCCTAAACTCCACAGTTTTTTTTTATATGAATGACTCATGATGGTTGCACATTTTACACTTAGCATTCCATGCACCACTAGACCAACTTTACTCCATGGTTCCTTATCTTCCTTATGTGTGCGTACTTTTTCCCTTCATATTTTTTCTTTTGCCTATTTCATGATAATAAATTTTTGTCTTAACGCGTTTGAAATTTTGCATCTGATGCAGATAGATCACTCTATAGTGGAGAGCTTTGGTGGAGAAGGCAAGGGGTGCATAACAGCTAGAGTTTATCCCATATTGGCCATTAATGGGGATGCCCACTTGTCTGCTTTCAATTATGGAAAACTGAAGATGTCAAAATCACAGGAAGTGCATGGAGCTTGAAAACAGCAAAAATCAATTGAAATATGAATAGTGGAGAGTGCTCTTGGAAGGAGAAGGAAAGTATCTTTGATCCTGAATTTGTAGTGCCTCTTCAGATAAATAATATGAGAGAGAGCGTAATAATAAAATTTGCGCGTGTATGAATCGGAAATAAAAACTTGTGCGTGTCAGTCTTTTCTTTGGCATCATGGATTCCGATTGTGTCTCTGTATGTAGAAGTTTATGTAAAAAAATATTTGTTTCTGCTTAAAGCTACTTGTCAATCGAGATTGCTGCAAGTATTCCACTGCCACTAGCTTTGAAACAACGATGTCAGATTGTTTACTGCATAAGAACTACAGTATATAGCAAATAACCCCAAAAAAAAAGTTTGGCTCCTTATAGGTAAGGAGTGATTCCTCTGTACACACTAATCACTATTTGACGCGTGTGTATACATTCGTCTTGTTGTCCCTTTGGGGATCCAATATGTTTTTTTTGGGTATGGGCTGAACTTCCATAGCCCAATGAGGAATGACTATTTACTAGTAAGGAGCCAACTAGTGTTCAGATAGCACCTGCGAACCAAAAACTTTCGACTCTAAGGACATAGGTTCTTGTAAAGTCTCTTTTTCTTGGGCCTAATATGGTGACCAATCAGATTTTCTATTGTTCACCTCTTATGTGCCCAAATAAAAGCACACTAAACTTTCATTGCTCAATATTCCTCAAAGGCACCATAAAGCCATTGGTTTTAGTGTGGTTATTCTTCTCCCCTGGGGTTTGTGGCCATGTTAGACAGGTGCCACAAATTCCAAGGGGTCTGATATGGTAGACAAGTGCTAAAAACCAGATTATATGATATTAAATATGAGAAAGGGATGCGTGCATGGTTGAGATATGAGAAATTTTATGCCTCAAAGACTCCACAATGATCCGAGGATGCAAAGGTTGCCATTAACTTGTACTATATTATTCAGGGGTTAAATTGGCTATTATAATGATACAAATTCTCTTTCACACATATATGAATTAAATGAGGCTTATTTTGGACGTGAGAGATGCGATTAGTAATATATATATATAGTCATGTGATATAAGAAATGTGGTTATCAATATGATGTGATTGTGAAAATATATGTTGCATTTGCAGTATTTAATAAACAAACAATGAGGCTATGTGTAGCAATATACTTGGGGTTTCATATGGCATTAGACATTACTGCACTTATCTTACCTCATCATGCTCTGGTCCTTATCATCTTTCTTTTCTTCCTCATCGTCAAAGCAACAATGATTCAAATGATTTGGAAAATGCTAACAACGCTTACCAGAAGGTAGTAGAGAAGGCAAAGCTGTTGGAGTTGACAAGTAGTCAGGTCATTAACGCGTTAGTGATATACCCCAAACGAAGGGCTAAACATCACATATGTGATGCCCAAAAGTAAGGGTAATTATCGCTGGAAGTAGTCACGACCCACCTTAACCCCTTTAATTAATGTTTGGCATCTAACTGGACCCTCACTTTCAACAAAAAAGAAAAACTTTGCCCATTACCGTTAATTCCCCTAAAAACTCAATCAAAACACGAAAAAAAAAACATTATGCATGAAAATCTAAGAGGATTTTTATAGAAATGTTACATGCAGCGGCGGATCAAGGAATTTTTCAGCGGAGGTGCAATTTTTACTAATACAGAGAGCTAAATAACTTAAAAAATAAAAATAAGCAAAATTGGAGTTTGCTCAAGAAAAAAAAATGCATTCAACTTACTTTGGATTGGCGTACTCGAGAAGGAAAAAAAACACAGGATTCTTGTGATGCATACACACTTTGATGAAATTGGGTGATGCTAAATTGGTCTTTTACAGAGATAATTCCCAATCATATTTAATTAAGGAATTCCCAAAACCCAATTGAATATAGAGAACTCACAATTAAAACCCAATTAACTAAGGAAATAAAACCATTTGGAAAGCCCACAAAAAACCCACATTTAAAGCATCAGTTTCCCTGTTTTTACTTTTTTTTCATTTAAAAACCTTGGTCCAAAACGACGTCGTTTTGGCCAGACTTCGTTTAAAAAAAAACATGCGCACAGCAGAAGCGCAGGCACTGCACCACACGGATGAGCCTCACCACTGTATTAGAGATGATAGGGTATTCTAATTAAAAACACAGGTTGTCTAAGAAATTCACCAATTATTGCTAAAGCCCTCCAACTTACTTCTAACCCAATGATGAAGGAGAGAGACTCCATCATTAACTATAAAATAAGCAAAAGGCAAAGTTAGTTAAAATTGGAAGCCAGCCTGCAACACAAAAAACATGGGACATTCTCAAAGATAGAAGCAGCAGCAGAAGGCTTTGATGAAATGGAGCTTCGTTTCATGCGGATGATGATGGGCGCAGTTGACTTGTGCTTGGCAAGCAAAGAGTCTGATCTTTCAAGCTGATTAGGACGTTTGGGCGGTTGCGTTGGAGGAGGAGGACAAGGTGGAGTTGTGAGGCAGCCTAGTCTCACTTGCGCATTTCATCAAACACCTTATGTGCGTCGCTGGTCTGAAGCAGAGGTGCAATTCCAGCTCCTCTAATGGTGATTTCCGGCGACCGAAGGTGCAGGTGCACCTCCTTGCGCCTGCACAGGTCCGCCAGTGGTTACATGAACTTATACCTCAGTTTCAATTTGTCATCTTAAAGAAAAATTTAAGAGAAATATCACCTTAATTTTTCAAAATCCATGATTTGTTATTTGACTTTACATCATCCAATTTTTCATCCATTTTTATGGGTATTTTAGTATTTCCATTTTCAATGGTATTGTAAAAATGGAAAAATCATTATAAACATCTTTTAAACAATTAAAATTGACCTTCCCCTTCATCCTCTCTCTTCAATGGAACACCTACCCTCCACACAAAAATTTCCTCAGCCCACCCAAACAAGGGCGAAACTAGGAATTTATATAGGGTTGGACTATATTTTTTTTCTCTCACTTCTTCTATATTATAATAGACTGTTTAAACCACACATGATCAAGCCCACTTCGGACCACAAGGCCCAATTAGCCCAACTAGTCTAACTAGCCCAATAAGCCCATAAAGTGCCTTTGGCCATGAAGTACCTTCATCTCGGAAAAGGTGGTACAAGGCAGAAGTGGCCAAAGACACGTGGCGGCCTCACAAGCCATACCATGAGTCCCACATTGAAAAATCACGGGTATCTCATACCCTTGCCTATAAAAAGGATGCTTGCCCTATTACGCAGGTAATGACAATTTGACCACTAAAATCATACTTGTTTATTCTACCCTTATCTTACTTAAGCTTCAGAGAGCCTACAGCCGATACCACACCGGTGTCGAAGCATTCACCCTTGTCTTCCCTTTTACAGGTCATTCCCTGTCTACTTGTCTACCAAAGGTCCACGAGCAACCAAAGGTGCATACATTGCAAAAGGTCCCACCTTCAGCCATCAACCTTCATATTTTATCTCTAAGTTGGGTTCAATCTTGCCCGTTCATTTTTGAGCATCAACATAAACTATTTGTCTTTATAGTATTAATCAGTCCCAAAAAATAAAAACTTTTTCTTTGACATTTCTACAAAAATCCCAAATGTAAATTTACATCTCCCCACTAAAGCAAAAACTACATTTACATGTCTAGAATTTGTGGATGTGACATGTACATCCCAAAAATGCATCTTTGTAGCATTAATAATTCCCAAAAAATAAAATAAATGTTAGTTAATTTACTCCGTCAATTTTCTTTAGTCCGTTAGTTTTTGCCCTTCTCACTGTTCAATCTCTTCTCTTCCACTCCAACAGTGAAAATTTTCTTCCCCTTGAACCCGCTACCGTGCCTGCCAATCATCATTTACAAGAAAATCAGATACTTGACTACCAGCCATTTGAGCGGGTTAGGGAGGAACAGGATACACAATTCCTCAACAAGAATATCATGCTGTCAATGGGTTAGTTCCTCCTTTGCCACTCCATTACAGGTTTTCTTTCTAGAGAGAGAGATCATAGTGGTTGCTAATAAATTCCCACATTTGGCATTTCTTTCAATTTTTCTAATAATTCAATTTCTGGAAGTTCTGCCCTTTTCTTAATTACCATCCAAAATTATTTTGATCATCCAATCTTTCTTTGTTTTGAATCAAATTTTGTAGGGTTTTTATTTAGCGGATGGGTTCCAGACCAGAGTAATATTTCTGATTATTTCAGTGACACGTCCAACAATGGTTTTTCTAGAGTTGCTCAAAACGGTGAGTTAACGGCTCCGAATGGTGAATTATGTGCACATGTTGAATATTTCCACATAACTTAAGGTAGCTTCTTCTTGAATAAGTCTCCCGTCACAGTCGTATTTGATGGTTGCTGAAACAATATGGATATTGACTTTTATCATTATATATGTATAATTTCATTATTATCCCTCCATTCCTATTGGCATATAATATTGGATTTTTCATGCCTTTCAATTACAAACTGAAAAGTATAAGATCTTCATCCATTCATTTTAAGTAGAGAGTTTTTCGTAATGGCTGCTTCCAAGGATGCTTGTTCCTCCTCTTACCGGTGCAGCTATCATGCATTCTTGAGTTTCAGGGGCGAAGATACACGCAAGGGCTTTACTGATCACCTCTACGGGGCTTTGGAGCTGGCAGGAATCCACACTTTTAGAGATGATGATGAGATTGAGAGAGGATCAAATATTGCAGCAGAGCTCCAGAAGGCGATACAAGAGTCACGAGTATCATTATTGTCTTCTTCAAGGACTACGCTTCCTTGAGATGGTGCTTGGATGAACTTGCAAAGATCATGGAACGTAGCAAAACTGAGGGACACATGGTTTTGCCAGTTTTCTATGCTGTGGATCCTTCCCATGTCAGGAACCAAAATGGAACTTTTGCAGAGGCATTTGCCAGACATGAAGAGCGCTTCAAGGACGAGATGTACAAGGTGGAGGAGTGGAGACGTGCACTTAGGGATGTTGCCGATCTTGGAGGAATGGTTTTAGAAAATCGGTAATTTCCCAAAAATTATCACTCTGTCACCTTTTTAATTTCAAAGTGCTAGCTTTTTTATGTGAATTTTTCACTTATCTAAACTATTTGCTAGAGATGACCTTTTCGAAAGATTATTTTTTAAAGAATTAAAGAATTTGTCACAAAATACACACTTACTAATTGTGATTTATATATTTTGATATCCACAATTTTATAGGTATGAGTCACGGTTTATCAAAGAAATTGTGGAAAAGATTGGAAATAAATTGGATCACAGAGCATTAAACGTTGCTCCCTATGCAGTTGGAATAGATAAGCATGTGCAAGGCCTAAACAAATGGTAGGAAGATGGATCAAATGATGTTGGTGTAGCTGTGATCTATGGGATGGGTGGAATTGGCAAGACTACCATTTCCAAATCTGCTTATAACCTTAACTTAGATAGATTTCAAGCTAGCAGCTTTAATGCAGATGTTAGAGAAACTTCAGAACAACCAAATGGTTTGGTTCTCTTGCGAAGAAAACTTCTTTCTAATATCCAAAAGGGGAAAACAAAGAAAGTATATAACATGGATGAAGGAGTAATCAAGATCAAGCATGTTGTATGTTGCAAAAGAGTTCTTATTGTTATTGATGATGTTGACCATTGGGACCAATTCAGTGCAGTTCTTGGAATGCGAGAATGGTTTCATCCAGGAAGTAAAATTATCATAACAACTAGACAGGAATATTTGCTAAAGGCTCATGAAGTTAGTGTAATGTTTAAGGTTCAAGAACTGAATGAGTATGAAGCACTTGAGCTTTTCAGTTGGCATGCCTTCGGACAAGCCCATCCTGTTGAAGGTTACATGGAGCTTTCAAGACCTGTAGTACAACACTCTGGAGGACTTCCATTAGCTCTTTAAGTTTTGGGATCTTCTCTATCTAGAAAGAATGTAGACGTATGGCAAAGCGTATAGAGAAGCTAGACATGATTCCTCATGGAAAAATTCAAAAATTTCTTAGAATAAGCTTTGATTCTCTTGAAGATAATCATGACAAACATTTATTCCTTCATAAGCTTTATTGCCTGTTTCTTCATAGGAAAATATAAGGATTTTACAATTACAGTACTAGACAACTGTGATTTTTACACAAGGATTGGAATTCAAAATCTAGTTGATAGATGCCTTCTGAAAATTAATGGAGAAAACAAGTTGGTCATGCATCAAGTACTTAGAGAGGGGGGGGGGATTCATCTAATATTATGAGAAAATTAACCGTAAGAAGCATGCTCTTCATATGTATGTCTGTACTGTAAATGTGTACAACTTACTTAACCATTTGTTCTGATTTGTTAGCATGGTACAGAAACTATTAAGGCTTTCAAGCTCCACATTCCTATGTTCATAGAAGACGAGCCTTCAAAGACAATATGTAGTGGAAGTAACAAAAAGAGATGCCACGTTAAAGATTATGATAGTAACAAAAAGAGATGTCGGCTTGGTTTCTTCTCCTGGCAATCAATTAACTTTTCCTCAACAAGTTCAGTTGTTGTATCAAATGAGGTGGACTTTAAAACAGAGGCATTTAGAAGAATGCACAATCTTGAAATGCTCCTGCTCAGTAATGTTAATATCAGTGGAGGCTATGAAGATTTTCCAAAATATTTAATATGGTTATCTTGGCGTGGATTCCCTTTAAAATCAATACCAGCCAATTTTTATTTGGAAAATCTGGTTGCTCTTGAGTTGCAAAATAGCAGGTTGGAACATGTTTGGAAGGGAACCAAGGTATGATACTAATCTCTCTCTTTCTCTCTCAACAAAAAAGAAACACACACACAGGCACAGAAGTTTAGGGATTGTTACGTATTCTTAGAAACTAATTACTGCTCTTTGGAACAGTTGCTTCCAAGACTGAAAATCCTTAATCTCAATCATTCACATAGCCTTATGACAACCCCCGACTTGTCAGGACTGTCTAACCTTGAGAGATTAAATCTTAATGGATGCATACATTTGGTTGAGATTGGTGAATCCATTGGAAACCTAGAGAAACTAGTGTTCTTGAATCTGAAGGACTGCAAAAATCTCATTAAGCTTCCGACAAGTATTAGCATGTTGAGATCTCTTCAGGAACTTATTCTTTCTGGTTGCTCAAAGCAGGTGCTTCATGCCAACACAACTGCCACCTCTACCGCTACAGATATGAAGAAACTCGTTTTGTTATCGACTACTTTATGGCAATCAATCTGGTCGTGGTAGTCGTGGGTGTTACCAAGAAAAGTTCCTGAAAGCCATTTCTCAATGGGAAATTTACCACATTTCTTAGGACGCTTAAGTCTGGCTTACTGCAATTTGTCAGAAGTTTCCACCGATCTTTGTATCCTATCCTCGTTGCAGTATTTGAATCTAGGCGGAAATCCATTTCTGAACCTACCAGAAAACATGAACGGTCTTATTATGCTCCAGACTCTTCTGTTAAAGAACTGCAAACGCTTCCAGAGCTCCCACCAAATTTAAAGAGCTTGCAGGCAAGTTTTGGTACATCGTTGAAAAGAGTAACAAATGTTCCAAACAAGTTCAGATAATTGGAATTAATGTTTTACCAATGTATGATGTTAGTCGAAGTTAAGAGCTCGTTCAATATAAATCCGTTGAGAAGCATTGACAGAGAAATGATCCAAGAGATGGGGTTGTTCAATTTGGAGTCCATTGAAAGTGCTGAGGTGGAAATGATCAACAACTCGACAAATACAACCAGAAAGGTCCCCTTCAGTTCTCTCTCTCTCTCTCTCTCTCTCCTCTCTCTCTCTCTCTCTCTCTCTCTTGTATAATTATAATGATGAGTATGATTTCTGTAGCCTGTAATTGTTGAACCATATGATCTCCATGATACAAGGGCTCTATGAGTGTGGCATATTTAGCATTTTCCTTCATGGAAGCAAGATTCCAGATTGGTTTAGCTACAGGAGCATGGGCAACTCTGTGTTGTCTATTATCATACCTTCACATCTCCACCGGAAGATTCGAGGCTTAAATGCATGTGTTGTGTATACTCATCATCCAGATAGGGTTCTTGGGCTTCAAAGCCAACACTTTGTTAAAGTCAGTAATGAGACTAAAGGTCTTAAGTGGACCTATTCCGCAGTCACAATGGGTTGTCCAGAAGAGAATGAAGATACGCTATGGCTGAGCCATTGGTTGTTTGGCAACAATGAATTGTAAGGCGGTGAAGAAGTACGTGTTTCAGTGGATATGAAGTATGGTTTCTCGAGAAAGGAATTTGGAATCCAGCTTGTGTATGAGCAGGAAAATAAGGGTAAGGGTGTGCTATCAAATAGTGATCAAGATATAACAATCCAACAGGAAGCATCTCCTTCGAGGTAGAATGTGCTTGGTGGAGATGTGTCTGTGTCTGCTTCAAAGTATCAATTGCAGATGGGCAAATACTTTCTTTGTAATTATAAGGACCAATATCAATTCAGATTGAGCTCGAAGAACCCAGCTCATCTTGATTTTCAATAGGAGCCTAAGACCTCCATCAATTTTTGTTTAGGCTAGACGATGATTCCATTTGTTCTAAATATGAATTTTTGCACTGATCTTTATGTCATTGGCGGTTTGCAAACAATGAATTAGGGACTGGGGAAGAACAGAAGCAGCATCTCCCTATACCCCGAGAGGGAAAACGTTTCATATTGTGTATGAAAGACTATGGGTGTTAATGTATGGTTTTTACTATTTTCTTTTGGCTTCCCTTGACAACTTTGTAATAGGATGTGTAATGTAATTTATCAAGCTCAAGTCTAGATTAGGGAAAACTTTTATTGGTGCTCTTCTCTAATCTCTGCTCTATGGTGGCTCAAGCAAGTTGACAAAGGTATTGAGCATTGCATATCATTACATAAAACAGTCTTCATAAAATGATGACTAGTCAACCGTTTCTCATATGACTAGTCATCCTTGCCTCCAGCTGGATAACAAACTGTTTTGTCCTATTCTTCTTTCTCTCTCTCTGCTGCCAAGTGGGTTTCTGACCTAACGAATTCGTTGGTCTGTAAAGCCCACGAGATTTCTCATTTGGCAGTTGTCTCTTTTGGGTGGAAGTTTTGGAAAGTTTGGCTTGCCATCTTTCGCTTCTTCTTCCACGAGAGAACCATATATTTCATCTATGAGTTTTTCCAATTGATTTCTTTTTGAAAAACTGCATTTTGAAACACAAATCTGCATCTAGCTATTTAAATCATTCTATCATTTATATCTAGGTCAGATTCAAGATTGATTTCTTCAAGAGTATGGTTTCTTGAAGAAATTGGTCTTTCTCCTTTGAATCCAAATTGGTTTCGGTTTGTGTTGGAGCTTGCAAGCTAGTGCCATGGGATGAACGAGCTGGAGAAGGAGCTGCCATTGCCATGAAGGACTGAGCTTCAAGCTTTGCTAAGTTGGAGAAGAAGATTGCACAAAGGAGGTATTGCTCATATTCCTAAATAGACCTAGGTGCTTCTTGAGCTTGGTTGTGTTTCCTTTGTAAGAATCTTTTTCTACTTAGTGGAGTGCCTGGTCGGTTGATGACTCCCAGTTTTTCCCAATGGTGGGTTTCTGGGTGAACAAAATCTGTTTTGCATATCTGTAATTTTTCTGGGTTTGTGTTCTTGGTGGTTGACTAGTCATCTGTATCTGCTGTTTGATGTTTACATGATAATGATGATTTCACACACTTTCACCATAGTTGTTGCTAGCACAGGGGATGCCTAGATTGACGGGTCCTTCTGAGTGCCTAGGTTGTCACTAGTAATCTTCTAGGATTGCAGGTACATTGTGGCATGCTCTGTGTATTCTATTGGTTGTGATTGTTTCTTGACTAGTAGTTGACTAGTCATATGTGTATTTGGTCAAGGTTTAAGTGTGTGAAGATTGCTGTGTTGTTGTGTCTTGTTTGTGTGATTAAATTTACCCCTCGTCACCTAAGTACCATTTCAATGGGTATGACGAGCTGCACCATAAGTTGGGACTGCCCTTTTTTTTCTTTATTTGAACAATTTTTTTAAGTTATTATTATGTAAGGTGTTGCAAAGACGGATAGGTATGAGCTACACCATAAATTGACTGCAACTTTTCTTAGGCACTGAACTATGCATGTGCGCTTATTCACGAAGATATTCGTGTTTCGATGTCGGCTCAAGAAGTGCCCTTGAAACAATTCTCTAACAGCATTCACGTTGGAATCCCATGGCACTTTGGCAGTGCATGTTTAAGAAAATGCTCCTACCCCTTCCTAACTTTGACAAAAGAAAAATTGAACATTTGACTGAAAAAAAAAATTAGTAGTAAACCAAAAGGAGAAAATTAAAAGCAAACCACAAGTACCAATTGTGACTTTTGGCCTTCTTTCTTAGAATTAAACTTTTCTTCTTCAGCTTCTCTGTTAGCATCTCCCGCCTCTTCTTCTTCATCAACTTTCAAGACCTTTCTGCTTTCGAGCGAATGCTCAGCCATGCGGCTTTTTGAGTTCTACACCCTTTCAGATTCTTGGAGGCAGAGAGAGCGCAAGGTTTCAATCCAATTGAAATTTGAGCATGGCGGAGACGGAGAGCAACTATAATTATCAACTAGAGGTGGAGAATGCACAACATTTAGGCCCCGTTTAGGATTGCTTTTTGGCCAAATACCTGCTTCACTTTAAAGTTAAGCAGTTTAAGGTGTTTGGTAAAAATAAAATATCCCGATTATTTTAAAAGCAGTGGCCTTTTGACAGCAACTTTTAAAGCAGACTCTGGGTTGCTTTTCAAAGCTGCTTTCAAAAGAAGCAGAGATGAACTTTTAATGAATTTTTTTAATTCCCAAAATACCATCATTCATTTTAAAAAATGACACCACCTCCACATCCTTCTCCTCCTCATCCTCCGCCACCACCACCACAACCACCACCTCCTCCACCTCCACCTCCATCATCACCACCACCACCACCACCACAACCACCACCTCCTCCACCTCCACCTCCATCATCACCACCACCACCATCACCACCACTACCACCACAACCACCTCCTCCTCCAAAACCTCCACATCCACTACCACCTCCACAATCAACACCACAACCACCACCATTACCACAACCACCAACTCTACCTTCATCACCACCACTACCTCCACTCCATCACTACCACTACCACCACATGATTAGTACATAACACTTTTAACATCATGTCTATTTTAGTCATTATTCACCATTACAACAATTTTATATTAAAATTTACCAAACGGTTTTTGACACTACTTTTTGTACTAACAGCACTTTAAAAATATTGTTTACCAAACATGGAGCTGCTTTACTTTACAGCTAATTATTTTCAAAGCACAGCAGAAGCAACTTCTTTTAAAAGTGACAGCAATCTCAAACTGGGCCTTAATCTGAGAGAATGGTCCCAAATGCACAACATTGACTTTGACTCCACTTGGCTTTAATTACGTTCCATCTTTCTTATATCTTTATCTGTTTTACATTTGTATAAATTAATATTTGTTTTGGATCAAAATGAAACTCACATGACTTCTAGTCTACACATTATTTAACTATTCATCAAGTACTTGACCACTTTTCCCATTAGCTAGTTTTCACTCCATGAGTCATTTAGTCAATTTGCTTGAACCCAAGCTTTACATATGATTATCTATATTTCCATTTGCATCACAAGTGAGCATAATATAGTCCATTTATTACAGAATATATTATCTATATTATTGAATGACCATATTTTTCATCTATGCAATTTAGTCTAATTTTTAGTTTGTCCCTTACATTTTAAAGGAAATTAATGTTGAACAATATAAAATCCCACATCAGAAACTTGACTAAATAAATTATAACTTATAATAAATGGTTCTACTCATAATAACACTAATGTCATTTGTGATAAAACTACTAGTAGTGGACCGATAACCCATTTTTCGGGAATTTAGTAAAAAGTGACCGAAATATCCCTACTCTCATAGGCAAAATTGTAATTTTACATTGTATAAAATTAATTAAATTCACGAATAATAATATTTTTGTGTCGGCATGTTACAATATTGAGGAAGCTTCGTCTTCAATACATCTCTCGCATCTCAGTGTGAAAATCGATATCACAAATGTTCAGTGGCTCGTGGGGCAATAGGCATAGAATTTGATACCTTATCACATTGGTCACTAACTTTGTGACTTTGTCATGCGTTCCTCTTTTTCTTATATTTATTCTGTTCTCTTTTATAGAGCAAGATTTTTTTTCTAAGACACAAACACAAGCTGAACATACAAATGGCTGCCACCAGCACGCAGCAGAATGCTTCTCCGTCCTCTCACTGGTGCACTTATGATGCATTCTTGAGCTTCAGGGGCACAGACACACGCAAGGGATTTACTGATCACCTCTACAGGGCTTTGGAGGTGGCAGGGGTCCACACTTTTAGAGATGATGACGAAATCGAGAGAGGAGCAAATATTTCAGCAGAGCTTCAAAAAGCAATACAAGAGTCTCGAGTATCCATCATTGTCTTCTCCAAGGACTACGCTTCCTCGAGATGGTGCCTGGATGAGCTAGTGACGATCATGGACCGTAGAGAAACTAATGAGAACATGGTGTTGCCGATTTTCTATGACGTGGATCCCATCCCATGTCAGGAACCAGACAGGACTTTTTGAAGAAGCATTTGCCAGACACCAACAGCGCTTCAACAAGGAGATGGACAAAGTGGAGAAGTGGAAAAAAGCTCTCAGAGATGTTGCAGATTTGGGAGGGATGGTTTTAGGAGATCGGTAATTTTTCATTCCCAAAATGGTGGTTTTCACTCTATCTTGGATGCTTTTTTAAGTAGATTATAGTGAAACTTTTCTCTAAACCCTAAGCACTTCTGTTTTGAAAGTTCATTTGCTTAATATCATTCATTTCAACCTATGATATAAATATCAATTCTCTTCTATAAAATAAAAATAAAAATAATAAAGAAATAAGTTTCTTTTTGTTGAAAAGAAATAACTTTTTGTGCCTTGTGTATTTTGATATCAATAATTTATAGGTACGAGTCGCAGTTTATCCAAGATATAGTTGAACTTATTGGAAATAAACTGGATCACACATGGAATAGGAGATTAAGAGTCGATCCCTATGTAGTTGGAATAGATAATCGTGTGGAAGGCCTAAACATGTGGTTAGAAGATGGATCAAGTGATGTTGGAGTAGCTGTAGTCTATGGGATGGGTGGAATTGGCAAAACCACCATTGCCAAGACTGCTTATAACCAGAACTTCTATAAATTTCAAGGTAGCAGCTTTCTTGCAGATATTAGAGCAACTTCAAAACTTCCCAATGGTTTGGTTCACTTGCAAAGGAACCTTCTTTCAGGTCTCCAAAAGGGGAAAGCAAAGAAAATATACAGCTTGGATGAAGGAATAACAAAGATCAAACGTGCGATACGTTGCAAAAGAGTTCTTATTGCTCTTGATGATGTGGACAACTTGGAACAATTCAATGCAATTCTTGGGATGCGAGAATGGCTTCATCCAGGAAGTAAAATAATCATAACAACTAGACATGAACATTTGTTAAAGGCTCATGAGAATTGTGCAATGTTTAAGGTGAAAGGGTTGAATGAGAATGAATCACTTGAGCTTTTCAGTTGGCATGCCTTTAGACAACCCCATCCTGGCGAAGGTTACATGGATCTTTCAAGACCTGTAATGGAACACTGTGGAGGGGTTCCATTAGCTCTTAAAGTTCTAGGATCTTCTCTCTTTGGAAAAGCTGCAGATGTATGGAAAAATGCATTACAAAACTTGGATGTGATTACTGAAGGAGAAATTCAAAAGATTCTCAGAATAAGCTTTGATTCTCTGCAAGATCATGACAAACGTCTGTTCCTCCATATAGCCTATTTCTTCATAGGAAAAGACAAGCATTTTTCAACTACAGTCCTTGATGAATGTGAGTTTGCCACAAACATTGGAATTCAAAATCTGGTTGATAGATGTCTGCTGATAATTGATGGATTCAACAAGTTAACCATGCACCAATTACTTCAAGGCATGGGAAAGGGAATTATTCGTGAAGAATCGCCTGAGGATCCTGGAAAACGTACTAGAGTGTGTAATAAAGATGCCTCTAATGTTTTGAGAAAATTAACTGTAAGAAATATCTTCTTTTATGTCTATGTATTCGTAATTTTGTTGTGCATGTGACAAGTTACTTACCCAATGTTCTTATTTGTTACCAGGGTACAGAAACTATTAAGGGCCTCATACTCAACATTCCTATGTTAATAAAAGATGAGTCTTCTAAGATAACATCCAGTGGAAGTAACAGAAAAAGATTCCATGTTGAAGATTATGATGGAAACTGTTCAAGCAGCCGACGTCGGCTTGGTTTCTTCTCCTGCCAGTCAATTAGTTTTTCTTCAACAAACTCATCTCCTGTATCAAATGAGATAGGTTTCAAAACAGAGGCATTTAGAAGGATGCACAATCTTGAACTCCTGCTGCTTGATAATGTAAAAATCAGTGGAGGCTATGAAGATTTCCCAAAAAATTTAATATGGTTGTCTTGGCGAGGATGCGCTTTAAAGTCAATACCAACCAATTTTTACTTGGAAAATCTAATTTCTCTTGACTTGCGGAACAGCAGCCTCCAACATGTTTGGAAGGGAACTACTAATCTCTCTCTCTCTCTCTCTCTCTCTCTCTCTCTCTCTCTCTCACTCACACACACAGAGACAAATTTAAAGATGATTATATATTTATAGAAACTAATTACTTCTTTTTAAAACAGTTTCTTCCAAGACTGAAAATCTTAAATCTCAGTCATTCACATGGCCTTGTGACAACCCCTGACTTGTCAGGATCCCCTAACCTCGAGAGATTAATTCTTAAAGATTGCATAAATTTGAAAGAGGTGGATGAATCCATTGGAGATTTGGAGAAACTTGTTTTCTTGAATCTAAAAGATTGCAAAAATCTCATGAAGCTTCCAATAAGAATAGTATGCTGCGATCTCTCCAGAAACTTAGTCTCTCTGGTTGCTCAAATCTTGTGCTGCCTGCCAGTATGATCGTTAAAAATCAGTCAGACTCTACACCTAGTGACATGAAGAAACTCAGTCTGTGGCAATCAATGCGATCATGGGTATTGCCAAGAAAAAATCTCCAACTGGCAAGTTGGCCACAATTTTTAAAAAGCTTAGATATGGCGTACTGCAATCTGTCAGAAATTCCCAATGATCTTCCTAGTAGCCTATCCTCATTGGAGCGTTTGAATCTAGATGGAAACCCATTTTTGAGCCTACCAGTAAACTTGAATGGTCTTAGTAAGCTCCACAGACTTTCGTTGGATATGTGCCAAAACCTCGAAATGATTCCCGAGCTCCCACCAAGTGTAGAGGATTTGATCGCAACTAGATGTACTTCATTGAAAAGAGTACTACTAAACTTACCCGACATGTTACCAACAATTAGACTTGCGGTTATGGCATGCGAGAATGTAGTTGAAATTCAAAACGTGCTCAAAACAAGACCGTTGAGAAGCGTCGACATAGAAATGATCAAAGATATCGGTCTGTTCAATTTGGAATCCATAGGAAGCACTGAAGTTGAAATGTTCGACTACTTGACATGTACAGAAAGGAAGGGTCCTCTCCAGGTTCTCTCTCTCTTTCTCATGTATTGTATAGTTTTTTATGATGATTATTTTATGTGGCCTGTAATATTTGAACATATATAAATCTGTCCATGCATGCATGAAACAGGGACTGGATGAATGTGGTATATTTAGCATATTCCTTCCTGGGAGCGAGGTTCCAGATTGGTTCCGCTACAAGTCGAGCATGGGTAACTCTGAGCTGTCTGGAACTATACCTCCAAATCTTAATTTGAAGATCCGAGGCCTAAATGCATGTGTTGTGTATGCACGAGGTAATAAGTTTCGTGAAGAATATAAATTGGACACGTGCGTTCCCATTCTTCACATCAGTAATGAGACCAAGGGTCTTAAGTGGACCTATGTGCCAGTCACAATAGGGTTTCCAAAAGAGAAGGAACATATGTTATGGCTTAGTCATTGGCGATTCGCAATCGATGAATTGGAGGGTGGGGAAGAAATACGTGTTTCGGTTAGAGTAGATGAAGATGCTATGTTGATAAAGGAATTTGGAATCCAGCTTGTGTACGAGCAGAACAATAATGAGGGTACCGTAACTGAAGATATAACCACAATGTTCCTACATGAAACAACTACACCTTCGAACCAGAATCATGTCGTTGCTGGAGATGTGTCAGCATCAGCATCAAGGTTTCATAAAAATAATAATAAGGTGGGTGAATACTTTATATGTAATCATAATGGATGGTATCCTGGTTTTGTTTCTGGAAACTCACAAGCAACTTCCCAGTGGGTCACCCGTCGTGGGATTGCTGCAGCCCCAATTCGCTAAACTTAGGAGTTCCCATGACTCCGAAGCCAGTGAGCTCCCAAAAAGCCTCGTGCTAGATGGAGGTAGGCATGTACGTATAAGGCACATCACCTCATCTCCGTTGGTCGATGTGGGATGTTACAATATATAACAAACTTTTAGTATATGTAGGCATGTGTATAATTCTGATGTATACATGTATGTGTGTTTTATATATACACGTACATTATAACAAAAAATAGATACACATATATAGAATACATAAGTATACATGCATTTTTGTTATATAGTATGTTTGGATATGATAACCACACATATGAATTTTTGTAATATTCAAACAAACATGTTAGCCAAAAATACAGTCTTAAAGTAATATATACTCATATGTTTAGTATACATGTATATATGAATATTTGTATGTTGGATGGCACTTAAATATAACAAATAAGAAATGAAACATATATAGGACCTCAACTAAAAAAAATGCAATTAAAATTATAAATCATAAAATATTATTATAAATTCGGAATTTTTGGTAAACAATCGGAAAAATCGGATCGGATAGGGTTTTGAGAACTTCGGGAATTTTCAGATCGAAAATTCGGAATTTTCAGAATTTACCGATTCCGATATGAATTTTATCGGAAATTTCGAATTTCGGCACTTTTGGATATCAGATGTATCGGAGTCGGATTTTTTTGGAAATTTTCGGACCGAAATCGGTCAGAATCGGATTTTCAATCCAATTTACAGCCCTATCCATTTAGGAGTCGTCTCATACATAGACATATAGGATATACGCATCAAAGTTTGAGTTGGAAAAGCTGCGGATGTATGGAAAAGTGCATTACAAGTGAACCATGCACCAATTACTTCAAGACATAGGAACAGTGGTGGATCCAGGATTCATCAGCCATGGGTCTTAGTGTAAAAGTTGGAAAATATTTTTTAGACAAAATAGGATTGAAAAATTAAAGCCATAGCACTTTCATTCCTAATCAACCAACAACAAAAAAACTAATCAAAACACAAAACCCTAATCAATTAATCAAAACACAAGCCTTAATCAATTAATTAAAATACTATCAATAAACCATTAATGAAAACACAAATCTCATATAATAAATCAAACAAATTTCAATTTCAATTGAATTAAAAACTTTATATACCATCATCAATCAATTATAAACTCTAATCTAAATAACAATATCAATCAATTAAAGGAAGAGAGCATAGCGTTTCTCATAATTATTTTACTCATCAGTGACCGAGTGAGAGATGAAATGAAACAGTTTTTCCTTGTTCTTTGGTGGTCTTCCCCTATTACTCTACAAATACTCAGTTTGCGAGAAAAACCGTAAACATATCTTAGAGAGAGAAAGAAAGAGTGGACCTTGGATGTTGGTGGGCAAGAGGAGCTCTGTTTCTGGTCTTGAAGAACAGCCATTTGGCTCCCTAACTTTGTGGTTATGGAGGAGAGGGAATGTGAAAGTAATTGGGAATTAAGGGTTATACTGGACTTGGGTAAAGGGATGGGTGCCATTGAGGGTCGCACAGCAGCCATCCATGGGGTCGTCTGAGGACCTCCACTGCAAATATTCCGGTCGGCATGGGGTCACCTGACCCCTCTTGTCCCTATATGCGTCCACCCCAGCATAGAAAGGGGAATTATTTGCGAAGAATCACCTGAGGACCCTGGAAACGTAATAGAGTGTGGCATAAAGATGCCTGTAATGTTTTGAGAAAATTAATTGTAAGAAATGTGCTCTCTTTTGCGTATGTATTAATAATGTCTTGTGCATGTGACCAAGGGTCTTATGTGGACCTATTGCCCTCCTTTGTTTAGGCAGGAGGGGCTGAAGACGGATATTGTGCTTTTTAGGGTGTTTTTAAATAAAGTGCATTTCAAATTTCCTGTAAATTTTCGTATTAATTAATAAGTTAAT